CCAAGCATCAGGGTGCCAGACAGTAGCCATCCATGCCATGGAAAAGCAAATTTCAAAGTCAAAGTTCCATAGCTGTAGCACAAATGGTTGATTTGTTATGAATTTTCAAAGTTTTGAAATTTAGAGGCTTGCTGTAGCGCCACCATCAGGACTATTGTCTTGTGTTTCCAGTTGAGGACATCTGGCATGGGACTGGACCTTTATGAAAAGTTTGGGTAGGTTCTCATATGGAAATGTTGCACAAGCTGAGGATTGAACTCACAATCTTCAACACCAAGAGCCATCCTCTATCTCACTGAGCTACTTGGCAAACAGAAATGTCACTTGTAGCTTCACAAATTGACTAAGCCAGTCGCCTGTGTGCAAGACAGCAGCTGTTAGTGTGTAAAGGCAGATTTCAAACTGTTGTCAAAAATTCAGTTATTAAGACAAAAATCCGAAAATACACTAATTGCATCTAGACAGCATGGAGATGTTGGTAATTTGTTTTTAACAGTGATTTATTGGCTCCATAAGTGGAAAACTGATGTTTAAAAATGACATTTTTGCATTGACTCCAATTGTTTGCATGAGAGCGAAATTCAAAATGCTGTAAAAAAATTCAGTTTTTGAGATAAAATTTGGATATTTTCCAAACATCATCTACCATGACTCCAAAATTTTGTCATTTTTTAAATAAACATTGAAAATGTATTTTGCAAGAATTTGCAAGTATATGTTTACAATACTGTTTACAGTCAAACATTTTGATGCACTGTAGGCTCAATTTTCAATAAATCAAAAATCTGTGTGGATCGTTTGTGTAGGACAGTCTGAAGATGCTCTGTAGCAAGTTTGGTGTCAATTGAGCAAAAATTGTGGGAGGAGATAGGTTTAATACGTTTTACAGTTTTTGAAAAAAAACAGAGTGATGGACTTCATAATTTGCAATAGGTTTAAATGTACAAAAGTTTCTTCAGTTTTGGGGCTACATTTTGGTGAAAGTTGCAAATCTGTAGCACATACAGTGGCGTGCACAGACTTTTTGGAGGGCAGGGGCGAAAAGAAAAAAAGGGCACATACAGCGTGTTCTCGCCACTGAAGAGGGCACTAAGTTCTGTGTGTTTTCGAGGGCACTTTAGACATGTTTATATGTTATACAAATGGCACATTATATAGCCTTAAAACAGACTAGCCAGACAGACGACTCAAATTAGTTTGTAGTTAGGATCAGCATCCACAAGAACTGTGTAGATTCAACGTTGGACTGTGAAGAATACACAGAGACATGGATGTATGAAAGAAAGAAATCTGTGGGGGGGTCTGGGGGTCCTCCCCCAGAAAATTTTCAATCAAGTAGATACCATTTCCTGTATTCTAGTGCATTTTAACACCATATTAGCACCAGATAATCCAAACTGGTTCTGTGAGATAAAGTTCTGGCTCAATATAGATCAGAAAAGGGTCCAACATAAAAGTCATTGCAACAGTAATGTTTTTACCACCCAAGAGGGCAGTTTATCATGTTTTAACCAGCCAAGAGGGCACTTTAGTGTCTTTGTTTTGGCTCCCAAGAGGGCACTTAGGCGTGCGTTTTGGCTCCCAGGAGGACATTTTGGCTGCCAAGAGGGCACTTTAGCGTGCGTTTTTCAACAATTGGGCCACGAGGGGTGGCAACCGCGCCCCCTGCACCCGTTACAGATTAGGCTGTCTGGCCCCTAACTAGCAACAGCTAATATAGATCCAATGTAGCTGGGTCAAGACTTCCTCTTCTGTGCACAGCTCATTGCTTACAGTTGGAATTAGAAACTTGAGACAGGTCCAGACAGCAATCTGATAAATCTCTATAAACAGATACCTGGATATGAATGCAGATAAATTAGCTAATAAAAACGAAAAGACGATAGCTAGTGGGTTCTAGCTTAGTGGGTTAGTTATTTTATCGCACAATAAGTACTTTAATTTTTTGCTAATAACTCAAGTAAGCAGGACTATTACTTGTAGTGGAGTCTCTGTGATATCAACACTTTTACTTAAATGAAGGATCTGGATATGTATTTCACCACTGACAAAGATTGTTATTTTATAATCATTATCATGTTTTTGCATGTTATATAAGGAGTGCCTCTGTGATATTCCCTTATGTGTCAGTGTTTACAGCTCCTGCCATCAAACAGTTCATCAATTTTTGAGAGTTTTCATACGTTTAAATTTAATATCATACAATACTAGGTACTTTGTCCACAACTGGACAAACAACACGGCTCATCCTCATCCTCATCCTCTGCTGTCTTTCTCGGACCTGCCTCCTCAGCTGGGCAGCCTCCTCCTCAGCCTGCAGGTACAGCAATCCTGCTGCAATAACTGCACCAGACGACTTCTCCGATCCATGTCCGTTATTGATTTTTTGATTTCCAACTCACCAGTGCTCACGATCATACCACCAACTCTCCACAAACTTGTCCCCCCGCACCTGGCTTTTGATTACACATAATCAGAAGCCAGGTGCGGGAAAGATTAAATATGATCTAAACCCTTGTGAGACATTTTATGAAAATACTTTGGCTATTTATATGTTTTTGTATGTCAGTTATATATGTTGAAACGTTAAAAACATATAGGCCTACTTATTAATTTCTTACAGTGACAATGAAAAGACGCAGGGCTGGGCTGAAATATTGTTTTACTCTAAATGCATATGGACAACACAGTAGCCTACAACAGCCAAGGAGAGCGGAAGGGTTGACATCATCAAGTTCGCTTCTGTTCCAGAAGCAGAAATGACTGTACCCCCGTCCTCCTGTTCTTTGGAAGTCCGGACTCTCGCGTGGACCTGCCAAGACAAGTCCTCAAGTCCGCTCTGCTGAACTTGAGTAGGCCTACTGAGAAACGCCTCTCGTTTTGTGTTGTGTTGTGCCTGGGACACGTCGTGTATTAATGCTACCCGTTACCTGGAGAGCTAGGGAGGAGATTTATGTTTCTTCTCTGTTGCAAAACTAAAATCAAACCCTGAAAAGTGTAGGGTTAGCTAGCTAGCTACTGAAGATATAACCTGCTGAATGTATACACATGCTGCTTTTGCTTTTTAATGATTATAACAGTGAAACAAAGACCGACCCTGCTGTACAGGAACCAGTGAAGGGAAGCAGGGAAACTTTGCTGATATTCAGCCAGCTGTGTGGCATCATATTGTGCGCAGACAAAAGTTGTTTGACTTCCTCCAGAGGTCCGGCGGGGCGGAGGTCCGGATTCTGGCTGCTGCACGGGGAACAACCAAACACCGTTTGTAATAGAGTGATCTATTGTGTTCTTGTTGCCACCTTCTGGTAAATATTGGCCATTGCAGTTATGTGGTTACATTTTGGTTGACCAACGAATAACGGGTTTATGCTCAAGCTCCCAGCAAGTTTAGTTTGTCAGTCTGCCTCTTGAAGTGTAAATTAAAGACGCTCATAAGCGCATCACCTCGCCTGGTTATTGACTCCAACCCAGTGTATTACAGCGTTCATCTGCACACACTGTGATGTCACACAGCTGGTTCAGTATCAGCAAAGTTTCCCTTTATATTCATTGTCTTCTGTGGCGATCACTGACACTGCCTCTACAAAAGCAAAAGGGGGCTTTCTTTGTAGATCTGCCTACATTTTGTTGCCCCTACAGTTCATGTCTCAACATTCTGACCTCCAGGGTAGCAGATACAAACAGCCGTGATCTGCCAGATAGCAAAATCAGGTAAGAATCTGACAACGCTAAATTAAATTGCTGAAATTAATAAAATAAATTTACTTTAAATAATGTAGAATATCCAATAAATGTGGGCTCAGTACATTTGTTTAGAATATTGTATTTGGGAGTTCATTTTGGAGTTTCTGATGTGCTGCTGGGATTTTTGGGGGTTATTTTGGTTTGATAAAGGTTAGGGTTTCTCTGTTATTGGCAGCCTTATTTCATAAGAGACAAAGAAACCTCTGAGCAGCAGTTTATTAAAAAGTGAAGATATCAGCAAGCATTTCTAAAAGGAATTGAAACCTCAGCATCAAAATGTATGCAGATTTCAGTAGGAACAGCAACAACTTAAAACTTCTCAATAGAAATATAAAATTAACCATGGGTTATTACTGTTAGAAATGGATAAGGCAGTGTCAGCTGAACGTGGACTGACAAATCACAGTTTAACCCTTTAAAACCTGGAGCACCGTCACTTTTCTAGTGTTGCTTTCAGACACCTTCCACAAGTATTTCTGATACCTGAGCAAATTCTTTTAAAAAAAAAAAAAAATCAAAAGGCACTCAGCAGTTTGGCATAACATATCCTGCAAACTGCAAGAAAGTATTAAAAGATGTCAAGAAGTTGGCTGAGAGAGAGAAAGAAAACTAGGGTAAAATAAAAAAGTTATCATATTTATACATTTAAAATAAGGTTACAGAGGGTCATTTTCTGTTTTCGTTGTTTTACTTTTTTGTAACTTTTTACGAATATCATGCTAATATTTGGGTCATTTCTTGTTTTAAAAAACATCAATTGGCTTAGGTTTCAAACGGTTAAAACTGTTTAAAACCAAGGGAATTTTTCCCCAAAAATATTTAGAGCACAACTGCACCTTTACGGCTCAGTAATGGTCGAGGGTCATCCGAGCTTTTCTGGACTGGAAAATAAAATTTAAATCAAAGGGTATTTGAGGAGGAACAAGATTCAATCAGTATTATCTGTGAGGACAAATCATTTAATTATTTTTTTCTTTTGGGGCCCAAACTGCGTCTGATGTAAATGAGTCGTTTGGTGTCTGTATTATATATTTTAATTTCTGTTAAATGAAAGAAGAAAAGCGTCAATATAACAAGTGAAATATCTGAATGGTAGTGTAACCGTGTACTGTATATTGTATAGAATAATGCTAATATTTGTCATATAAATACACTATCAAGTTCTGTTTTGCAGTTATATTGTAATTTGCAACTGTTTTTTCTTTTCATTTTAACATCCCACAGTGTTTTACACCAACGACACCTCAGAGAACTATATGGCCCAAAACAGCAAGATGATGATATTCCGCCTGTTTCTGGCAGGTAAGATAATTAGTCACGATGTTCGGACTTAGCTTTGTTTCACTCTTTTCATCTGAAACGGGCCCCACTCTCCCAAGAGTCCCAGACTGACACGCAAAAATATATATAGACTCTTTCAAACTTGACAACATAAACATTATACATGGGTCAAAGTGTATGAATATTTGTTAACTCAGTAGTTGACAGGAAGTAAACACAGATCAATGGAACATGAAAAGTTGTGGCAAATTCACAAGAGTGAAACTCTGATGTCCGAGTGTTACATGTTGAAAAATGTACGTTAACACATAGCTTATAATTTAATGACCTATCATGGCAAATTTTGATGCTATGGACTTGGTAAAAGTGTCTGAAAATTTGGGAATAAAACACTTAATTGATTTCTAATGACATCTATTGGTATCTCTATTCAATGCTTTACTCGTGTGCAACAATAATGTAATGTTTTTGGATTAAAATATGTTAATTTTGGGGCTTTGCCAAGCAAGTATTGACATATATGTGACTGCTTAAATTTGCATATACAGTATATATTTCTTTCACCCCTTAAAGTCTCCATGCCAGTGCCCTCATAAACAAGCAACACTGTGTTAAGGGCCCCACATGAGCTGTTAACACGGATCCACAGATGCTCTTGCCCACCCCTGTTAGTCACCTCTTTGTATCCAGTCTCATTCTAACATACACCCTACCTAAAAAATCTATCAAGGAGAAGTCATATCATTCTTTGTCACTTCCATCACTTTCTTTCAGCTCTCAGCAGTCCTGTGTTCGCTGAAGAATGGAAGGCGAATGTTGTAAAAAGTCTCGACGCTCTGGTCAGTTCCTGCATTGTGGTGCCGTGTTCATTCACCCATCCTAAAGGAAACCTGCCCACCTCCAGACTCAGAGGGATCTGGCATCGTTCAAATGATCGAAATGAACGCATCTATTACGAGGATCAAACGCAGGTTTTGGAAAACTTCAGGGGCCGCACACGGTTGTTGGGACATCTGGGTCAGAGCAACTGCACCTTAGAAATGATGGACGTTAAAGATCATGACAATGGCCCTTTCTGCTTCCGGATAGAACAGGCACTGACAGAGACAAAAACCGACGACAAGTTCTCCTTTGTGGAGGATTGTGTCAAGTTCAGAATGCTCCGTATGTCATCAACTTTCCAAAATTTCATAAACCTCCGCCAATTTTCGTTGTAGAAACAGGATTTATCTCTTTCTTATTATCTGCATTTTCCTTTATTTTCCATTTGTAGCTGATCCTCCAAAACCTACACTGACTCACCCAAAGACAGCCATTGAAGGACATCCCTACACTGTCACCTGCTCGGTCACCCATACCTGCCCCTCCCATGTGCCTAAACTCACATGGAATAGAGGCACTGCCAATGACGCAACTGAGGTCCACAAAGAAACTCACCCTGGCAACTGGGAGGCACAGTCCATCCTGACCATCATTCCCAAGGAGAAGGACGACCACACTGAGATCAAATGCACAGCACAATTTAATGGAGGGAAGACGTCCTTTACAACACTGACACTCTATGTGAAACGTGAGATCATTTTCACTTTGTTGCTGAATTTTGAGGATGTTCTTAATATGTCCCCTTCCCATTATGTGTAATATAAAAGGAACTATGTCCTTTATATGTGGCTCCGTCTGTTTGCAGGTACAGAAAACTACAACCACATCATCATTCCCACAGTGGCGGCGATTGGCACAGCTGTGATCTTTGCAGTCTTCTGCATTCTCATGGCGAAGAAATACAAGTGAGTTCAATACAGACTTACACTACAAACTCCAGATTGCTAGGGATCTCCTATGTGATTCTCTTCTAACATATCAGCAGGCTGTTAAAGCTGCTAAAACTGAATATTTTTCCTCACTTGTTTCCACAAATGCTCACAAGCCTCAGGTTCTTTTTAATGTATTTGACTCACTGGTGAATCCTTGTGATCCTGTCTGTATTGAGCCTTCTTCTTCTCTGTGCGAGGATTTTCTGCAAATTTTTATTGATAAGATTTCTGCTCGTAGATCCCCACTCCCTCAGTCTGCTCAGGTCCCCTTAGTTCCCACAGCAAGCTCAGCTGTTTTTCACCAGTTTGAGCCCGTTTCACTCTCTCAACTCACTGAAGTAGTTGAACACTTACGCCCTGCTAACTGCCCAACTGACAGCATTTCATCCCGTTTGTTTAAAGAGGTTTTCAGTTCAGTTGAGTCTTTTATTTTAAAACTTATAAATATGTGTCTCAGCTCTGGATGTGTTCCATCCTCCGCCAATTTCCAAACCTCCTTTTATATCCAAGGTTTTAGAGAAAGTCGTTTTCAACCAAATCCAAGAATTTTTAAAAGGGGCCAGCGTTTGTGGACGGTTTCAGTCTGGTTTTTGGTTTCAGTTCTGGACCTGGCAGAGGTGTTTGACAGACTGGATCACACAATTCTCCTGTCACGCCTAGAGCATTGTGTAGGTATAAAAGGCACTGTTTTAAGTTGGTTTAAATCGTACCTCTCGGACAGATCCTTTTCTGTTCTTATGGGGCAGTTTTTCTCCTCAGTGGCCCCTCTGACCTGCGGGGTCCCCCTGGGGTCAGTTCTGGGCCCCCTATTGTTTTCCCTTTATGTGCGACCCCTGGGGTCTATATTTAGGAAGCATGGTATTCCCTTTCACTGCTTTGCTGATGACGTGCAGGTATATTTGCCGTTTAAGATTCCTTCCAAAGATTCCCTTCAGGCCGTGCTAAACTGCGTAAGTGACATGAAAACATGGATGGATTTAAACTTCTTAAAATTGATTGAAAACAAAACAGAGGTTGTCCTGTTCGGTCGCCCTGATCTGGTTCAGGTCCTTGCCAGCTCCCTGGGCCCACTAGCACCTTACATGGGATCCCATGCTAGAAATCTTGGTGTGATTATTGATGGTGCTTTTAAGCTAGATGAACAGGTCAACTCAATAGACTTGACTATTGAGTTGACCTGTTCGTTGTCACTAACCCTAACCAGATCAGGGCGACCAAACAAGACAACCTCTGTTTTGTTTTCATTCAATTTTAAGAAGTTTAAATCCATCCATGTTTTCATGTCACTCACGCAGTTTAGCACGGCCTGAAGGGAATCTTTGGAAGGAATCTTAAACGGCAAATACACCTGCACGTCATCAGCAAAGCAGTGAAAGGGAATACCATGCTTCCTAAATATAGACCCCAGGGGTCGCATATAAAGGGAGAACAATAGTTAAACCCTATCTAAACCAGAAAGACCTCGAAAAAGTTATCCATGCTTTTATTACCTCTCACTTAGATTATTACAACTCCCTGTATGTCGGCATTGAGCAGTCAGAGCTTAACCGCCTGCAGCTGGTTCAAAATGCAGCAGCTTGTCTCTTAACTGGGACAAAGAAACGCGAGTATATAACTCCGGTGCTCTCTTCACTTCACTGACTTCCAGTTAGGTACAGAGTTGATTTTAAGATTCTTTTATTTGTTTTTAAGTCTCTGAATGGGCTGGCTCCGGAATACCTATCTGACCTTATTAAGTTGCATCAGCCCTCCAGAGCCCTCAGATCAGCGAATCAGATGGTCTTGGATGTTCCTCGATCACNAGAGGAGAAATCTCCGTTTGCGTGTAAACGAAGGGCACAAACAAAGGAAGATGTCTCCGTTTATCAAAATCACTGTGTACGTGTAAACGGCCTCTGAGTCTTTCTAAAAACTCCGGCCAGAGTGGAGATTTTGGAAAGCTCCGGTTGCACATTTGCATGTAAACTGAGATAAACGGAGTTATAGGCAGCATAGACGTCGGAACTAGGGTTGCGGGTGGTGTGGCTGCACCCCCTCCCATCTGCCCCCCCCGCACCCCATCAGCCGTCATACCCACTGCATTACGTTTTAAAAAAATAAAGAATCTGAATTTACACTCAATTTGTCTGACTTACATTTATCTCTTTCATCTCATTAATGCATAGATCTGTGCTTTTGATGTGATATGCAGCCTGCCTGACTACATACAGAGGCCCTGGACCTGCTGCACTCAGGGGTGGAGCGGCGTTTTGATCAGGAGGGACTCCGCGTAGCTGCAGGGCTAGAGCAGGCAGTGCTTGAGGCGGCTCAGGGGAAACGAGTGGATGTGGGTTCTGTAATTATGGGCCCGAGCCCGATTTAAACCAGACATTTTTCAGTAAGTTGGTTGTTATAATTAAGAGTATTAAACCACAATTCTTGTTATTTGAATGACAGAAATATCGGATCTTAATGAATGGCGCAACACGGAAGCATGATTATGTNTGCTTTTGATGTGATATGCAGCCTGCCTGACTACATACAGAGGCCCTGGACCTGCTGCACTCAGGGGTGGAGCGGCGTTTTGATCAGGAGGGACTCCGCGTAGCTGCAGGGCTAGAGCAGGCAGTGCTTGAGGCGGCTCAGGGGAAACGAGTGGATGTGGGTTCTGTAATTATGGGCCCGAGCCCGATTTAAACCAGACATTTTTCAGTAAGTTGGTTGTTATAATTAAGAGTATTAAACCACAATTCTTGTTATTTGAATGACAGAAATATCGGATCTTAATGAATGGCGCAACACGGAAGCATGATTATGTAATAAAACAGGTGTTTATTTTAGGATCCAGGTGGTGAAGGGCTGTGCGCACACAATGTTCCAACAGGGGACAGCCTTCCATTCCGAAACCCCCACTCCGAAATTGATTTTCAAGTCCATATCGAGTTTCCTGCATCAAACACTGCTGCCCGCTCTCCGGCCACACTCACACAATTCTGAAATTCGTTGTACTACAAAAGCTTGAAATGAATGTTCGACTCATTGTTTTTTATTGAAAATATGTCACAGTCTTCATTTCTTATGTATAATTTCTCTAGCAGCAAACACATTTAAAGGAGACGCTTGTCAGGTCTTTGTACGCGCGCTGTCCATGGTGCTGAAATCCCCGCTCCTGCTGACAGCAGACCGGGGGAGAAAAAAAAGACATTTCTTTGCTCTGTGCTTTTAGAAAAGGCTGTGTGATTATGCACAAAGATTGGTTAACACATTGGAGAAATTTCATACAATTTTGGACATTTAACGTGATAAACTAATTTCAGTTCAACATGGTCATTTGCTTAGAGGATTCAGCTGAAGCATAATGAGTGATATGTCATTAAGATGAAGTATTTGCTTGTTTTGTGGTTAATTATGCACATGATCCATTTGACCCCATCATGTGTGCCTGCAGACAGGGGCAAAAGGATCAATGCGCAGCCTCCGTTTCCTTTCTGATTGCGTCCGTCTCGTTCATTCAAACTTTGTAAACACGGTTGGGATTTGTAGGGGACATATGTATGCTGCTCACTATAAAATGTGTTTACTATAAATAAATGTATCTCTGTGCAGAGAGGGCTTAAAATCTTTATCAGTAGGTCAACATGAGAGAAGGTCAACTTTTGGAATTTTTGGAAAAACTTTTGCTTGTTGTTGCTATTTTATGGATTCTGATTGCTAACGTGGGCTTGAGCTTCTCGTTACACTGCCACCTACAGGTTTGGCATGCTCTTGACAGCATATATACACGGGTTAGTGTAATCGAAGATTTTTTTTGGAAAGCGGACAGATGTGCACGATGTTATTTTTGAAAACAGAGACAGTTAAATGTCCGTTTATGAAAATAGCTGGCCACGTGTAAACAGGGCATGACTTACAAGACTAGCAGTGCATGCACTGATTTAACAGCTGCAGTGGAGTCTGCAGATCAGCTGTGTTCAATCAACAATCACCTGCAGATCAGGTGAGTCCGCAGATCAGCTGTGTTCAATCAACAATCACCTGCAGATCAGGTGAGTCTGCAGATCAGCTGTGTTCAATCAACAATCACCTGCAGATCAGGTGAGTCTGCAGATCAGCTGTGTTCAATCAACAATCACCGATACAGACCCTCCTCCTGTGTGTTACAGATGCGTTTCAGTCTGTACAACTGACTGACGGGTAGGCTCTTTTTTAGAGGCAATGATAACAAAACAAAAAATAAAAAAATAAAAAAATTCAATAACCACAACAATATTCAGAAAACCTACTGGCAAGAATAATTTACTAAACTTTCAAAGTTACATTCCATTGCCTCTAAAAAAAGAGCCTACCTGTCAGTCAGTTGTACAGACTGAAATGCATCTGTAACACACAGGAGGAGTTCAACTGTCAGAGTGAAAACATGCTCCACAGGTTCAGACAGAAAGGCTATCCCGAATCTTGCCTTCACTCAGCGTTAGAGACTGTAAACAAAACTGAAAGGAAAACGCTATTTACCAAGACAAACAAGCAAAACAAAGTACATTCTACAAATTACATCCTTACATAAAACCTTTTCAGCTCTGTGATCAAATCTACTGTCTTGAAACACTGGCACATTTTATCATCTAAATAATACGTTTCAATACCCACCTCTATTCACCTACAAAAGAGCCACTAGTTTAGTGAAGGCTGATTCGTGTCCTGCTAGACCTAAATCATTTTTTTGCGGTAGTTTTCCTTGTAGATCTTGCACTTCGTGCGACAATATGGTAAAAACGGACAAATTCCACGATCTGCATACTGGAAAGGAGTATAACATTAGATCTCTCATTACCTGTAACACATCTCATGTCATTCACTTACTGTTTTGCCCATGTAGGAAATACTATATTGGTCAGACAGCCCGCAAATTAAAAATCAGGCTGAATGAACATAGAAGCAGCATTAAACGGGCCGACATGATATCCCCTGTAGCACGCCACTTCTGTGAACATGGACACA